AATTTAAAAAAAGATGAAATTTTTAATTTAGTTTTTTATTTCTTCATTCAATGTATAACGCAGACAAAACAATTAAAGGTTTTATGAGTTTACGTAATAAGACAAAAGCATACTAATTTTTACAAATTTTTTTTTCCAGTTTTTTTGTTAATTATATAATTTTATTTTACTCTAATATTTTTTTAAAAGGTGGTATTTTTGGAAACACTCATCCCCTTGAAGGGGAATCTCGCAAAATTTACATATATAAGAAATCAAACTTTTCTTTTTATTCATTGCACAAACACGACATTGTCTCTTTTTGCCGCCAGTAACAAGTTTTATAATTTCATGTTTCCGCAAGTCTAATGACAATCGCCCAGGAGGATCTTTATTTACTGTAGTCCTGTACCCAGAAATATCATGCAGAATCATCATTTGAAACATCATGTACCTAGAATCATTTGCTGCATCAAAAAATGTACTTCCTACACAAAAGGTATTAACTTTTACATTACAAAAGGTATTACCTTTCCCGCCGATAGTCTGTTATGTCTTAGAGCCAGTGTACAAATTACAAATCAGATAATGATTCATTTAAAGATTGATGAAACAACATGCTTCTTTAATACTTTGGGGTAGTCTTTTAAAATGGTTTACAAATTTGTAAGTTGTAGAATTTCTTTATTCTCTCAGAATCATTCATTTGTTTATTTGTCACGTCCCAAGGGGGACTCTGCAGACTTACTGCACTATGGGAACGCGACGATTTTGGGATCGTGTCAATGAGGTAGAATAAAGATAGAAAAGGAAGCATTTCGTCTCGGAGTCGCCACCAGACTCATTATCAGTGGGGTTGCTGGCGGCGACTCCTATCTTAGACGCTTGGGTGGTGGGGGCCTCTAAGCTAGGCATGGAAAACCATGGTCACCCATTCTAGGGCCGCATCCGCGCGGTGCGTGCTTAATCTGGTAATCGTCATCGATCCAAGTAAGCTACGTTCACCAGCAGGTGGTGATTTTTATATCTTCGGAATTGGTTTATTAAGGACGAACACTGTGAGAACTCGACACCAGATGAAGCTAACTCATCCTATCGGTTGCCGGTCGAAGGGAGAGTTTGAAAATTGAATTGAATAGAGATAGAGAGATTTGAACGCGAAGACCCGCAGTGACGAGTAGGACTACTCCAAGACGTCGGGAGATGTCACATATTCAAGGTTGTTTGTCGTAATCATTCTATTGTAAATTTATGAAAAATTCTGAAATTATTAAATATACGCTTAATTGTAGAATTTACGAAAATTTTTAAATTATTTTATTGTTTGAATAAGAATTATATTATATTGATGAAAATTTTAATATTATTAAAAGATAAATAAAAATTAGAAAAAAATTTTTTTAATTTAATTACTTTTCAACCTTACGCATGTATCTATGTAATAAATAAGTATTAATAATTATATATATATGTATAAAATAATTAGTTATAGAATGACATTCTTTTAGTAAGAAATACTATAATATAAAATTTAAAAATATGAATTTATTCTACAAATATTGTAAAAAATTGGTTAAAATCGAATGTATTAACTAATTATTAGATATTTATAATCAGTAGAAATAAAAATTACTTTTAGAAAATATATTTCTAGTTATATTCTAACAGATAATATTCTAAACTTTGCTCTATATTGCAAGTGGTTATTTGCTCTATATGGTAAGTAAAATTTTTAAGACTAGTATAGTGATAAAATTGAATTCCCTAAAAATTTCATATTATATATAGTGTCGTATGTTGAAATTTGGAACACTGTCAAAATATACATGGTTAGGACAAATTTAAGCCAAACAATGAATTATCAATTATGGGTATTTACCCAATAATTAGAAACAAATTATAAATATTATTACTTTAATTGATTAATCTGGGCAAATTATGTGTCATTCAAAAAATTAATGATTAAATATAGATATATTATACAATTCATAACATATCTACTATATACACATAACTTTTATATATATAATATATGGAAGTATATATATTCACAAGTACATGTACTCATACAAAGGAATAAGAAATACAATTGACACATATATATACATATATTATAGAAATTATTTCTTTTTTATATATTACTAAAATTTGGTAATATTGAAACGGTAACTCGAAATATTACAAATAATTATGACAATCAGCGAAACAAACGTGAAACATAAAAAAATGTAATATATTATTATATTTTTTAATCATACAGTAACTACACTTACAAGTGTAGAAAATAAATTACTACCATATAGGTAGAGAAATAATTCGAACATAAATATCTAAGAAACTACATAAACATATGTTTTACTTAACCTCATTTCAAAATTTCGATCAGTTTTTATGTTTTATCAGTTATATTATTTAATTTTCCCAATATATTAAATAAATATTACTAATTCTTTACATTTACCCGCATACATGTAAAAAATACATGTAAAAAATGAGTAATAAAATACATGTAATACATGTAAAAAATGAGTAGTAAAACTAACATATTTCACGCTGTGGAAAAATTGAACGAATGATCACTATCTTTTCCTAGAATAAAAAGGTACAATATGTGACGTTAAATGTTGTGAATTATGTTAAAAATCTTTCATAAAATCATGAAACACCGTGAAATAACAATCCATTTAGAATGTTTAACTTAGAGGATAAAAAAAAGTTATTTGCAAATAATACTTTCACGACATATTGATATAAAACATATTCTCCAAGTAAAAAAAATTTCATTCTACATGTGTGCTTTTATGTTCACAATCGAACTATTTATAAACGTAGACTGGCAAATTGTCTTGATAAAGATATTCACTGTAATTTTGATAAAGGTAATGCACTTACTCGAAATAATGCATACATACAATCGAACTCCATTTCTGATTTATTGCGTATTTCTATTTATACGATACAAAATCTCTAATATTCTTGCAGTTTTAATAGTTATTTTATGAGAAAAAAACAAAAAAGAGAAAGAAAAATAAAAACGAAAATAGAATTTTAAACAGAAACAATGAAAGCACGTGACAGTTCGAAAGTTTAGATAAGATCGCAAAATAATAGTTCTCCGTCGTTTTGACGAAAACTCGATGATTATTTATGTTATGATTTTACATGTTTGTTTTTGTTAAATAATTTTCTCATTTAAACTTCGTGAGATAGAATAGAATCGAAATGTAAAAAGATAAAAATATTAAATTTTCTCTGGATAGTCCAATACTTATAGGTTATGGATATCAGATACGGGAACTGATAATTACCAACACACATACATGCACCAATCCGATAAAGGACAACAGTAACGATAATGAAATGAACGATTGTTTAATTTCTGACAGTGGAAAGTTGCTTATTAATCTGCACCAAATTATTAAGCATATTCCTATCTCTTATTAAGCACACATTAGCACAGGCCGTTATAATTAATATAAAAAGTTATGATCATAATTATGAATTTCCATTTGAATAATCAATATTTTTTAATAATTATTATCATTTCAAGTACTCGTATATTCTATACAATTAAACAAAGGTATCAATATTACGATGTACATATATGTATACACATATTTTTACGAAAATTCGTCGTATATTGGGAATAAAGGTACTTTACAATTCTTATGTTGGTACCGCAAGTACAATTTTCACGCAGGCAACTTCAAAATGTTCTTTTGTGTTACAAATTTGATTGACAAAACCCAACACAATTTCCATTATTATTAAAATATATTAAAATTTGTTAACGTTAAAATCGCATTTTATGAGGAAGATATCGCAGCGGATTATGTTTACGAAACTTGACAAATTGAATAAACTGTTTCTTAAAATGTATTATAAAATGCGGTAACGAAAAAATTGTTTTCGAACAATTATTTTTGACAGCGATCGGTCGATATTTAATTGTTCTCAGTGTTTGCATTCGATTCTCAACAGTTTTCGATTAAAACGTTGAATAAAACATAGTAAATGTTGGTGGTAAAAAAATTTATACTCCATGTATTCGAAATTGCATTCCTTCCTAAATTCGGGGTATCGAATTATAGTTAAAGATATTTGCCATGGGATAAACAGCGATTGAATATATAATATATTTCGAAATATTTGCGAGATGAGGTGGAAATATCCGCGACGGAATTGAAAAATTCAAAACATGAAAGGGCAAGGGGAATTGAAACGCGAGCGGAGAGTCAACCGCGTGAAGTTCGCTTCGTGGGAAGTTGGCACTACTGGAGGCGCTGTTGGCGCGGTAGTGGGGATAGAAGGGAGGTGTGGTAACGGTTAGGAGTCTCGTCCAACCACGAGAGGAGCTAGTAGCGTTCGTCTGGCAGTATGAGGCGGCGTGGGGCTAGGGACGATGCATGGGCTGCGACTAGGAGGCACTTGGGAGGTAGGGAGGGCATGCGAGCGGAGCACAGTTCAGTAGTCGCCATTGCAAGTCCCCCTGAGCTCTCGTATTCGTGACACTCGGACGCGTGGAGCCGATTTTCCGCTAACCTAATCTCCCCGCGAGGGCCCTAAGTGTGCCCCCCCGATGCAGAGATATTGCACCGAGCTCACCGATAGATTGTTGAAATCGCTTGATAAGGAATACAATGTAAGTAGCGGAATGAATCCGCGATGCGCCGTCCGTCCGTTCACGCAAACGGCTATCGGGCCACTCTCGATCCCCCGTGCGCCGTGTGCCTGTACCAGTGGCGTGCGCGAGATTCACTGAGAATGTAGTGTAGTGGCGGCTCCGCGTGTGAGTGAGTAATATGTCTCCTCTGTGTGTTACGTTCGATGCCAGTCGGCCGATCTGTTCCCTTTTGTACGAGTGTGTGCGTGTCCGACCGACGTAAATGCGTTCATCGGCTACCTGGAGCATAACCTCAAAAACGCGCCGTTTCCAGCGGGAAATATTCGGGAATATCGGCAGGATCTTGAGAACGCGTCATTGCATTCCCTCCTTTTGCCACTGCCACCGTTCAGATTGGTCTCCGTTGCACTCGATAAGCAGGCACCTTCCTCGCGCCTTCCTCCCGCACTTTCGCGAATTTTAGGCTTCTCTCTCTCTCTCTCTCTTTCTCTCTCTCTCTCTCTCTCTCTCTCGCGTACTT